TCTCTCACTTCATCCCTCTCTCTGGTCAAATTAAAAAAATAAGTAAGTAAATAAGTAAGTAAATAAATAAATAACTGAAAGCTAAATAAAATAATTCTTCAAAAAAGTTATAGTTCATGCCAAGTTATAATTTTATTGTTATTTTTTTAATTTGCTAAAGGATGCATGCACTTGCCAGAGAAAGAGATGGGGTGAAAGACAGAGGGAAAGTGAGAAAGCAACCCCCACGGGGTGGTTACACCACAATTCCTCCTCCTCCACTTCTCTCTCCTCTCAGCGTTTTGAGCATGCATGTACACATGCCTCTCAAGTCGGTAGGTCTGGGATGTGGACCACACAGTTGGCTGTGTGGGATCCAGTCACCTTAACCACCATGCCACCAGCTGGCTCTAGTTTACATTTAAAAATGTAAGCCACCTAATGGCATCCAGGGACTAGAATGTACTACTGTGCGTTACTTCATTTTTATCAGTTACCCATTAAATATAGCACTAACCTCATAGCACAACTGCCGTTGCATTTTTAGTTTTTCCTTCTTCTCTTCTAATGTCCACCTCTGACACAGAGTCTACTAGGTATCTGTGGGTACATAACAAATTACCCCAAATAGAGTTCCTTACAACAACCTTTATCGTCTCAGATTCATTTCTAGGTCAGGGATCCATGTACAGTGTAGTCATGTCTTTTGGCTCATTTATGAGTTTTTCACAAGGCTGCAATCAAGGAGTTGGGGTGAGGGCAGATGGTGGCACAGCAGTAAAGCACAGCACTCTGTGAGGCTGACCCACATGGGAAAGTTGCCAGTTCATACCCAGGGACTGCCCGTGTGGGCTGGGTGTGCCGTGCCTATCCCAGGGGTGGATTGTAGTGTGGAGACCCTGTTGGGGATACTGTATCTGTCTCGCTCACTTGTGGAATAAATAAATAAACTAAAAAACAAACAAACAAACAAACAAAGGACTTGGCTAGGACTCCCATCATTTTAAGCCTCGCCTGGGGAAGGATCTCCTAAGCTCACTCAAGTGCTATTGGCAGACCTTGGCTTCTCACAGGCTGTTGGCCAGAAACATCCATGCCATGCCACAGAGGCTCTATGCAGGGCTACTCACAATATGGAAGCTTCCTTCTCTCAGAGTCAGAACTGAGAGAGAGATGGGACCAGCAGTTAGCATAATGGCTATGTGGGTGGCCTCCCATGTAGTCAATCATGGTTCGAGTCCCAGACCCAATGGCTTAAACTCACGCCAAGGGCGTGTGCGAGCGTGCCCAAGATCCCGAGAGGAGAATGGAGGAGAAGAGATTGTGGTGTGGCCATCCCCCCTGGGGGGGTGATTTCTCGCTTTCTGTCTCTCTGTCTCTCTCTGTCTTTCTGATGAGTACATGCACCCTATAGCAGAAACCTCTCCAAAAAAAAAGAAAGAAAGAAATTGGCATGTAAGGCAGGACTTCTCAAACTCACCCTGGTGACGGACCAACTTTTTTCTTTTTTTTTTTTAATTTTCAATTTGTTGCTGATCAGTACTTTCAGAAAAGAAAAAGAAATTCATTTCATGAAAAAGATAGCAAAAAGATGAGAAATGATCACATTCAGATTCACAGATCATGGGTCGTATGTTCCAGTCATGACGAGTTGCCGTCAAACTGATAAGCACTCAGTGACTTACCTCATCTGGACAAAAAGAAACAGAAACGAACAGCTCACAGACTGGCTCCAGTTCCAGAGTCTCCTTTGAGTAGCACTGATTTAAAGATTTTATAAACACAGATATCTTTTCAAGAAATTTATAAGACAATTGTTTGGACTTTTCACTTAGCTATTCCTGGAGAGTCTAGAAAGAGACCTAACAAGAAGTCTTTCCTTGGATTCTCACCGCCCTCTTTCTTCACTTCTGCAAACAGGATGTTTTGTTGTGCTTCAGGTCAAGGGTTCCGAGGATCAATTATGAGTCTCCTGTTTAATATTTCACTGCCTGATCTTTATGTGCCCTCCTTTCTACCAGGCTGGGAGCTACCAAGTTAAACCACACTCTTCAAGTGAGCAGTCTGATAGCTATTAAGATTATCAACTCATATTTTTATTTCATTTTATTTTTAATTTCTTCCATAGGACGTGCACTCAATGGAGAAAGAGAGAGAGAGAAAGGGAGGAAAAGTGAGAAAGCAACTTCTAGGGAGCATGACCACGTTGCAATTCTTCTCATCCATTCCCTTCTCAGGGTTTTGGGCATGCACGCACACGCACCCAGTGTGATTTTTCAAGCCTCTGGGTCCAGGACTCAAACAGTGCAGTTGGCCATGTGGGATCCAGAACCTTAACCATTATGCCACCTGCTGGCCCTCATTTCACATTTTGAAACGGTGAAGTATCAGCCCACTCTCCAAGTGTTAGGAGGGAAGTTTGAGTGCTCTTCTTGTTCCTAGTCTTGTTCAGGGTCCTCAAAACACATCAAGTGTAACCTCAATTCAACTGAAGGAAAGAAACAATTTTTTTTTTTTTTTTTGACCATCACCTGTGTGCAAAATTCTGGAAGATACAACCTGTAAAAAAGTACCACCTCTGCTCTTGCCTGCTTTATAGCATTGTCTTAGCCTGTTTGGTGCTGCTGAAACAGAATGCCTAAGACTGGAGACCAGTAAATGACATAATGGTATGTCTCTGGACTTCCACATGGCTGACCATGGTTCGAGTCCCAGACCCAGTGGCTTCAAATTCATGCCTGCTGCATGTGCATGAAGTGGCCAAAATCTCAAGAGGAGAATGGAGGAGAAGGGATTGTGGCATGGCCATTCCTCTTGGGGATGATTTCTCACTTTCTGTTTCTCCGGCGAGTGCACACTCCCCATAACTTTCTGTTTCTCCGGTGAGTGCACAAGAAAGAAAGAAAGAATGAATGAAAGAAAGAAAGAAAGAAAGAAAGAAAGAAAGAAAGAAAGAAAGAAAGAAATAGAGAGAGAAAGAAAGAAAGGAAGGAAGGAAGAAAGAAAGAAAGAAACTGAGACTGGGTAATTTATAATGAACAGACATGTATTGGCTCACAGTTCTAGAGGCCAAGATGAGAGGCTGCATCTGGTATGGGCCTTATTGCTGTATCATCTCTTTCCTGGCAGAAGGCATTCACAGGTGGCAGTGTGAGAGATGGGCCCCTCTAGGAGGACCCCACTCTCAAGATAACTGACCCACTTCCAGAATAACAGCATAAATCCATTTAGGAGGCCAGAACCCACATGACCTAATCACCTCTCAAAGGTTCCACCTCTCAACACTATTGCATTGAGAATTCAGTTTCCAACACAGGAACTTTAGGGACACATTCAAACAGCTGCATGCACTTCCTGTAAAAAAACCCCTTGAAGTCATTTAAATCTCAATATTTTGGCATTGGAGTACATTCTTTGTTTTGTTTCTAAGCGTTTCATAAACGTATATTTAATCTCCCCAATGACACCACTAAGTTTCCAGACAAAAACTCTCCATTTCATGTTCTCACAGCCTCCAGCACAACATTAGGCAGTTGGTAGCTCCTCCCTAAAAATGTGAATGCAGCAGACTGAGCTAAGGCCCCAAATGACCTGTCCGGGGACCAAATGCTGGGAACAGGGTTTCTGTTCCCAATCTTACTAAGCCGGCAAGCACCTCCCTCCATTTTCTTTACCACCCCTAGCTCATCCTCTAAGACACGAAGAAAAAGCAACTTGAAGAAGTCTATTCTGCTTCCCTGACTCCTTCTGGACAAATGGAAACTTCTTATCACACTAGCCCCAGGAGAGAGAAGAAACCAGGTGGAGGAAGTAGCCTTTTAAAACAAGTCTTGCTCAACTTATTCAACAACTGCCAACCCTCCACGGGGCAGCCTTTACCTTTCCTCTTTAACCCAAGGAAACGAGTGAGGGGTGGTAACACCTATATTTCCAAGGCCCTGTGCTGGGCACCGTGTGGGCACAAGGTGAACCAAACAAGTTTCTGGCCCTCAAGAGTATACAATGGGCAAATCAGACCAGTCCCCAATTACAACGCCAAGTGGAACGAGCTGAGTGTTGTCACGTCAGCACGTGGAGACAGTTCTGTGGGAGACACACGGGGAGAAGTCAATGCCTCCAATTCAGAGGACGTGGCTTTGGGGCCAAGTCTGGGAGGATACAAACCACCGGAGAGTACTTCCCACCTATCCAGGACTGTGGCTGGTGGGTTACCCACATGACCTCATTCATGGCTCACAGAAGGCCTGCATGGAAGGTGTCATTATTAGTCTCACTTTACAATGAGGAAACTGAGGAAGAAAGATTTGTCCAAGGCTGGTAAGCGGTAGAGTGTGGAGCTGGACTCAGACTGACTGCAGAGCTCGCTGTTGTTATTCTTAACCTTCACTCAAGGAGCAAAGGATAGGCCTAGAAAGAGGCCTTGCAACATATAGAGCGCCCCCAGGGAACAGCAAGGAATTTCTGAGGCTAGCGGGAATACTGTCTGATAGCTGTGGAACCTCTATGGCAAACTCTGGACTTCGCATACAGTATTTCTTCTGACCTCACCACATCCCTTCTTGATAGGTGCTATTATCCTCATTTTACAGATAAGGACAACTGGCAAGCAGTGAGCCTGGGAAATGAACACAGGGGTCAGACTCCTGACCCTACTCTTACTCACTGTGCCAGTCCAGGGTGTCACAGGTGAAAGCCAGGTGCCTTGCATCTGTCCCACTCTATACATCTTGCCCCTTCTCACCACTTACCCCCAACTCCCCAACCCGTGAGTACGTTCAACAAGGATGGCCCAGCTCGCAGGGTTGCAAGAAGCCACTTGGTGTCCCCCAAACTTTGTGATCCCAGAAAGCCTTGCGTTCCTCTTTCATAAAGAGGCTTGGAGCTGGGGAGCCCCGCCCCGCTTGGCCCCTCCCGCAGGCACCGTCCTCCGACAGTTTTGTGTCCCCAGCCGCGGCTCCCGCGGCCCGGGGCGGGGCTTGGTCGCCAGGCAGGGCGGCCCGCAGCCGGGCAGGCTGGCAGGTGGCTCCTCCTCCGCGTCTCCCGTGCTCTGGCCGCGCCAGGCACCCGGCTGGCTTCCGAGGAAGCACCTTTGTGCCCGGCTCCTAGCCCGCGACGGCCGCAGCGCACCCGGATCTATTGTTTTCTCGGGGTTTTCCCGCAGGTGCCCTCAGCGCGCAGGACCCGCACGTGCCACCGCAGCAGCTGGAGCTCTGGAACCCGCAGGCGCCGGCAGGGGTGTCCCCGGGCGCGCCGCCGGAGATGAAGCACCTGAAGCTCAGGTGGTCGGCCGGCGGCGGCCTCCTGAATCTCAGCATCCTGCTGAGCTTGGCAGGGCTCCGCGTAGACCTGGACCTCTACCTGCTGCTGCCGCCGCCCACCCTGCTTCGGGATGAGCTGCTGCTCCTGGGCGGCCCCACCAGCTCCGCCTACGCGCTCAGCCCCTTCCCCGCCTTGGGGGGGTGGGGGCGCGCGAGCCAGCTGCACCCCAAGGGCCGGGAGTCGGACCCCGCAACACAGCTCGAGGGCCAGCTCCTCTGGGAGTTGCGAGCGCTCGGGGTCCCCTTCGTCCCCCGCACGCGGGTGGATGCGTGGCTAGTGCACAGCGTGGTGGCTGGGGACGCAGACGGGGGCCACCGACTGCTCGGCGCCGCCGCGGCTTCAACGACCGGAGGAGTCGGCGCCAGTGTAGACGGTGGCAGCCAGGCTGCGCAGGGGAGCGGCGGGGATACCCGAGCGGCTCGGAGTAGCCCGTTGGCCAACGGGGAGGAGAAAGCACCGGCGGAACCGACGGCCCAGGTGCCGGACGCCAGCGGACGCGCGAGCGAGGTAATCAGAGAGCCCGACGTCAGCGAGGTGTGGCATCTACACCGCCTGGGGCTGGGGGGAGATTAGCCAGGAGCCCTCGAGGGCTGCGACGGAGCTTTCAGTCCACCCTTAGCCCCTGGGCAGGTGTAGGTTCGCCGACGGCTCTTCCTTTTGGGAATCAGAGTGAAGGCTATTGGTCCTGTCGATGTGGGTTTTAGATGTTTGTAAAAGAAGTGGGTGAAAGCGTCCGTTTCGGTTGTAGGGGCCACCTTTCCCTGTTTGGTGACTGTCAAGGATAGTTAGGGGGAGAAAGGGACGGTGTGCGTTTTGTTGCCTACTGTCTCGGTTCAGTACCTCCTGGGCACTGAGAAGGCTTTTTGGGAACCCGTGTCCAACCAGGCTACGAAGAAGGCCTTGGCGCCCGCGAGGAGCACGTTTCCCGTCAGAGCCACGCTCCGGGCCTAACGTAGTGGCCCTCGCCCTGGTTTCAACCCAGTTTGGGTTCATTTTTGCCGCTTCGGTTGATTGCGGAGTCGCACTCAGTGTCCACTCCGTGGCCAGCTGTGACCTAGCGATGCCCCGCGCCTCACAGCCGTCTTTCTTGGCACTTGTGTAACCTTTATTAGCACAAGGAAGACAGGCATCCTGACTGTCGCCTAGTGACCAGCAAGCTCCCTTTGGTTCATGGGTACAAACCCTTCTGCGGTTTAAGTTCTCTCTGAAACAAAGTTCACCAAGATCTGTTGGTTGATATCCCGCGCTCATCTTGAATCTCTGGAGCCCGCTTAAGTGAACACCACTTTCTAAAAACCAACCTTATTCGAAGTTCCTTCTAGGAGACTTAATAACTCTCTCTTGGCCCAAACAGTAGTGGTTTTGAATGCTATTGATCCACAGGTGCTCCGTGGATGTTGTTTTTGTAGAGTGCAGTCTTATGCAAAATGGGAATTGGGGCTAAACTGGTTTGTTTGCTGCTCTTCAGAATTGCCGTTTGTGTAGGCAGTTGCCAGACGAGCTTCTCCACCCTCTCCTGGTGGGGTCATTGTGTCGCACTGGGTGATTCACTGTTATGCAGATCTGATCCCTTCCTCTTCCTGGGGACCGGAACTAATAGGTGGGGGGCAGTGAGTGGCTTGGTGGGCTTGGTAGGCGCCTGTCTGTTCTGAACAAACAGCGGGAGGTTCTTTCCCACTCACTCACTCATCCACTCCGTGGGGTCTGTCTCACTGGAATCCATGCTGCCTGAGGAGTGGCCCCGGGCATTGCTCCCTCTCCTCGATCTATAACATACAGGTCTTGAAACCCAGTGTCAGGTGGTTTCCTGCCCCCCTCACTGCTGAAGGCCAACCGGCTCCCAGAGTACACTGGGACTGGGAGAGAGGGGAAGCTGATCGCTCTTCAGTGACGCCCCCCAGCATCACCTGCTTGATACCTATTTTGATAGGAAGGACTACCTTAGAGGCAGCTCTAAGGCCCTGGGCCCAGCCAGACCAGTTTGGCAGACCAGTTTGGAAGCCTTGAGTCTCGCTTTCCTAGAGGAGAGAGAAGTTCACACTGGGACATTATCCTGGACGTGCCATCCCCAGCTGGGCTGGCACTTGTGCACCTGCTCCGTGTGTTTGCTGCTGGGACAACCTGGTTTTATTCAGTGCAGATGATCAGCTGTCAGTTTTCACAGCCAATTCACCATTGTTGGTGATGCATTTTACAGCCACCTTGTGAGGTATGTTGGCCAGGTGTCCTCATATCTGGTTTGTATTTAAGGAGAATAGAAGCCCATCGAGGTTAGGGCTCTTGGAGGAAGCCACGTGTCAATTAGTGCCAGAAATGATACCAGAACCCAAGTCTCCTGGCTCACAGATTGGCATTAATTAAGATCTACACTGTACTCAGGCTCTCCTGGACAAGCACGCATCTGGGATAAGCTGACGTGGTCTCCTACCCAGCCCATCCTGGCCCCAGAACAACTGCTTTCCTCTGACACTGGACTGAATTTAAAAGCAGGCAGTACCATTCATAATGCAGAGGTTACAAGGTGGAATCTTGACTCCGGAAAACCTGGGCCTGGAAAACAGCATGGTCTTTGCAATGAACTAGACTTGGATTTGCAGCACTTCCTAAGGTCCCCTTGCACAGGTTACTAGAACCACTCCAACCCTCAGTGTCTCATCTGTTAAGTGGGAGGGTCAGGCTTACCTCTGAAGGGTGCTGATTCAATGCCGAAAGCATGTGTTCAATATCAGTCAGCACAGTGCCTGGATTATACTTGTTCTCTCCTCTTACCCGCCATCCTCCTCCCACTCTCCTCGCCTGTCTCACTCACCACTCACTTTATTCTTTTTGGCTTGTTTGTCTGTCTGGGTTAGTCGTTTGTTAAGTGAAGGGGGGGTGTTGGAACCAGACAGCCTGGTTTTGAATCCCACCTCTGCCCTCTCTCTGTGACCTTGAACCAATTTCTTAACCTTTCTGCGCTTCATTCTTCTCCCTGCATAAAGGTGCCTACCTTATAGGTTGATGTGAAAGTTAGAAGTTTATTCCATGTAAAGGGCTTAGAACTGTACCTGTTATGCCTTCAGTGCTTAATTAATGTCCGTTACTGCTGTTGATGTGGAAGAGAGGAAATGCTGTGGCCTATAAGAACATAATAGGTTTTATTCTTTTTTTTAATGGATTATTCTGGTGGCTTACATTTGAGTTTTATAGTATTTAATGGATTATTCTGGTGGCTTACATTTGATTTCACATCATTTTTGTACATGTGCAAAAACCTTTTGGAATAGGGGATTTTCCAAGTAGCAAAAGAAGTGCTGCTTTGGTTTCACTTCTCTGTGGGGCTAATCATTATCTGAGACAGACTCAGGAATTCCCCAGGGCCGACAGGCTTCCCTTCCTAACCACAGCCTTCACTTCAACCCATGAAGCATGCCTTCTTCAAAGTAAGGCACGGGCCAAACAAAGACATGACTGGGTTTTGTAGAGTTGAGTGTGTGAGCATATTTGAAGGTGGGTGGCTGCCTGCAGCCTGCTTCAGTATTTCAGAGGACTGTTTGCCTTTTTTGAGACTGAAGGGCTGTGGCGATCTTCATGTGACTTAATGCCCCGTGACAAGGGACCTTCTGCTGGGTGAGGGGTCCAGTAGGAGCTCTTGATTTACTGCCTCTTGGACAGGTTTCTTCAGTACAGTCAACATTTAATTCTAAGAGTAAAGGGAAGAACAAAAAGATCCTTGATTGGGTTTTGTTTTTTAATCCCCCATGAGGAATGGTCATGCTGCAATTCCTTCTCCTTCATCTCTCCCTCCTTTTAGGACTTTGGGCATGTGCACGCACAAGCACACACACAACACGCGCACGCACACACACACACACGGTGTTTCACAAGCCACCAGGGCCAGGATTCCAACCACATAGCTATGTGGGATCCAGCTGTTTTAACCACTACACCACGGACTGACTCAAGATCTCCATTACTACAGTAAAAATTACTTGTTGTTTCAAAATCAAAGATAGCCCCTCATGCCTGAGCAATTTGGATAGAGATGACATTTCAGAAACTTCTGCCTGTTTCTAACTCCCAGCTCTGAGACAGGAAAAGTCTTAGACTGCATCCATTGCAGTATGATGGAGTTTCACAGTTGAATTTTCCTTTTGTTCACTGAAGGACATTGTGAAGATGCACTGTGGTCTGTGTGGGAAGGGATGGCCTAAGTCACTGTATTAGTCTGCTAGGGCTGCTATAAGAAGACACCACAGGCTGAGTAGTTTCACCGGCAACTTGACTCCCGGTTCTGGAGGGGAGAAGTCCAAGGTCCAGATGTCCGCAGGTTCGGCAACCCCTGGGGACCTCTTGCCACATTTTGGCAGTGTGCTGGCAATTGTTGTCCTTGGTTTCTACTGCATCACCCTGGTCTCTCCCTTCATCTACACATGATGGGCTCCTGGTGTGCAAATCTGTTCACAAATTTCCTTTTTATAAGGATTTCGGTTGTGTTGGATAAGAGTCCACCCTACCACCCTACTATCTCAGCTTACCTAATTACGTTTGCAATTACCTTATTTCCAAATGAAGTTACATTGTAAGATACTAGGGGGTAGGACTCTCAACGTATGAATTTGTGAGACATAATTCAATCCCTAAGAGCCATCATCTCTCTTGTTTCAACTCTTAGGGTGTTCAGTTTATTAGCGAGGAGACTCCAACCATTGAAAGCTGAGTCAGCTGTTTCTGGAAGCAGTCAGTGTGCGTGTTGGATCATTTGTAGCAGGACTACATGTGCATGTGGAAATACACGGTTTGGTTGGCTCAGTGTGCAATCCTGGGGAACCTTAGTTCAGATGATCTTTTTCTAGTCAATTTTTACCTTGATCAGTAGGTAACAGAGATGTCATCTCTGCAGTATTTCTTATATTTTTCTCTCTTTTTTTTGGAGAGGTTTTTGCTATAGGGAACCTGCGCTTACCAGAAAGACAAAGAGAGACAGAAAGCGAGAAATCACCCCCCGGGGGGATGACCACGCTGCAATCCCTTCTCCATTCTCCTCTTGGGATCTTGGGCACGCACGCACACGCACGCACCCAGCATGAATTTAAGCCACTGGGTCTGGGACTCGAACCATGGTCAACTACATGGGAGTTCAGTGACATGGCCATTACGCTAGCTGCTGGTCCCTCTTATATTATTCTCTTCCTCCCCATTTCTGCTGCTTCTCCACTCACACAGTGGGAAATGAGCGTGCCAGGCTCGGCCTGACTTCTGATCTAGTGGACAGTGGGGCCAGACCAGCCTGGGTAGCTCAGCTCCACCCCTGCCTGGTTGTGAGCTGCAGCACACTTCTTAGCTTCTCCGGGCCTTGATTCCTTTATCTGTAAAATGAGATGGTAGGTATACCCTTGGGAGTCCTTGGGAAGATTAAGTGAGATAGTGCAGGTCAAGTTGAACTGGGTGGTTACTGGTAAACCTTTGCTTCTGTTAGCTACTGTTAGGGATTTAGCTAGGGGTCTGTCACACCCCTCCCTGGTTTA